CTGTTAAGCTGGGCTACTTCTGGTTCTGTGTCGACCGAAGTTAGGATTACAGCCCAAGGCTGACCAGTGCAACCTGACGTCTTAATTAGGCCACCGATTAGTTGCGGGAAGAACTCACAAAATCCATTCATACACTGCAGTTATTTTTCTCTTACGTCTTTTATGTTTGTTTACGTTATAATCAGGTAATGCGAGCTTATAATCTAGCATTGACTTGCACTGAAACTTGTGACTTTGCGTTGTGGGTTCGAATTCAGATGGGCACAAGACGAAATCCAAAATTAATCACATTTTAATGTTATTATTATGGTTTATTGTTATCACGTAAGATTTATTTACCGTCAGCAGTTTTCATTATTCAGAAACAATTAACTTACCAACATCCATTATAATTATTATCATATATTATTTCAAAATACCAAATGAATTTCCACTCGTGTTGATATAACGTCACGTGTTCGCGCGTCCGCCATGTTGTTATTGCCGGCTGTAGATTTTCCTTGATCCCCCCCTCCCCCGTCCCCCAAGTTCGAAATATGTTACGATAGCTACAATATCAAACCCCAAAATCGAATTACAGGATTTACATATCAGTTTCTCGTATTTGAGGCTCGAGACAACGATGTATGGATTTCGCGTCACTCAACAAAATGGCTACTTCACTTCGACCATTTCGCTTTAGGAATAGCAGTACACGGTGCTTCTAGCAAAAGCTACTTGACAGTGCGAATATCGGAAGTGTAAGGCCATAGAACGTTGTGTTAAACTGCGTGAGTGTAAGTGAAGAGGATGCGACTATTCAGCTAATTGTTTGTTCAGGCACTGAGCCAGTTTCTTGTTACCGATCTGGTTTAGATACACATACATTGACGACGCTGCTAGAATCTAACCCACAAGTCTGAAGTGAACTCAGATACAGTTGGAATGTACAGTGGCCCTACACTCGTCAAAATTAGTACAACACCAGTGTGGGCGTGTTCCTAGTCCAACGACTTACGGTGAATTAATTACAACTGAAAACAAAATCCTAGTAACAACATAAGTTTGTTTCAAAACTTTCCACTGACAAATTAACCGCGTGTAAAAATGTAATATGAGAATATTAATATTACGTTATCAAGACACTACAGACAAAACAGATCATTAACCTAAAATGTTAAAGAATTTATTCTCATGAATTGAACGGAGAAACGTATTTTAACCCAACAAAATAGTTTTAGCCTTGCAGTCCAAAAATATTCATTCAGGACAACCTACACGTAATATAACGTAATGTAGAATAATATTATATAACTATCCGAAACGCCTGCTTACTGAGGGGTTGTGACCCACGATGGTAAGAAGCAGATTTAACCAATTCCTCGTAATAAATTATGACCAATAAACACTTCGTGATACGGGTTTTTATGGGGGGGAAAAGCTTTCAAAACTTTTATTTCTTCCGCGAATTATGTTTTTCGCTGTCAATGTTTTATATAATAAAGACCTGGTCACAATCCAATTACACCAAAATCAATAATCACAGCACGTTAAGCATTTGCAACGCGAGGGTTTTACAGTGTGCCACAGAAGTTAACAGCTCACGGTCAACTCATTAACCTTAGATTCACATTCCCTATACGAAATATTTAATAAATGTTTACGTCACAGCCGTGGTCTCGTGAAATCATTCCACTGACAAAGAATGGCATTCTCATAATGGCCGTCTTCAAAGCGAATCGTTCTACTGATAATCTTCACTAAACAGGAATACGACGATCAGATAATGGAGAGTTAAATGGTGGGATGAAAAACTAGGCGAAAATCTCGACATCACTTGGGACAACAGAAAATAGAAGTATAATATTAAAATAAAGATGGCTGTCTTCTGGGACGTTTCAGAGGTACTTAAAAGCCTCCATCATCGGGGCAAAGCGAACAGCAGTAAACTTCTGCATCACTAAACGTCGTCAATTGCCACTGTCGCGAAAACTCAAAATTTCGCAAAATTCTCAATAGACGTTCGGAGTAAATATGCGCCTCATTCACATATCCAGAACTGATAAAACTTTTTAACACTGCTGATTTGTATTCGGACGTCCTCCGTTCGAATCAGCCGAGACAACGGGCGGTTGAGACTGACGTCTTCAACATTTTTTTCTGTTCCTTCAGCTGACTGCCAGGATATTACCCCAGAAACTACGTAGTTAAAATCTCACAACGCTGACTTGGTTCTATACGAATTCCCATACGTGGGACACGTTCCAATAACGGGAAAAATATGAACTACGAGCCGACACTGGTCCGCAGTGCGTAGTTATTCACCAGCTTAACGAAGCCAATAGTATCACCCTTTTCAAACTTGGTTTCCGACAACACGTAAATCGATAATTCCATGAAGAAAAAAAACAAAAAAAAAACACAAACCGTTCCGCAGAACATGATTTTGAGGTTGGAAGCAGAATTGGACAATTCGTTTCCATTCTTCGGGGTCATTTCATCCACACTGTGCGACATCTGCTCTGCCCTTTTATATTGCCTATATATACGTCTATGCGTTTCAACTCTGTTCCTGCCTTCAGCTCTGTACAACGCTGGCCTGTTTAATATTATTACTGGTCTCCCTGTAGTAACCGAACACACAATATATTCATTCACCCATATCTTTAAAAAAAAAAATATATATATATATATATGTAGTCTATTTACGAGCGTCTGTTCCGATTGTAAATTACTCTGTTGTTTCATCCTACTTAATTCGTAATTAAAACTTCTCTACCTTCGTCTGTTTTTATTATATTTAAAAACGACACCTAAAAACACACGAAAACCTAACGCCAATTCCCTAAATAATCACTGTTAATCGTTCTTACATCCATCATTCTATGTCCCATAATCGTCTACCTGAATACTTATTATATTTACGGTCTGATTCAAAATATCAAATCACAAGAGTACGAAATGAGGCCAAAATGATGGAAAGAGATACAGACGTACTTGGGCGAGTCGACATAAATCGATACGTATCGCTTGGATGAATAAACTACACATTACACGTGCTGGTACCACAAATAAAACACGTGATGGTGAAAAATAATTCTTACAAAGACG